TGTCATTACACGTGGTAGACATTCTGAGATCAGCATTTTATTAAAGTGACATTAAACCCTCAGATTGTTTAACATAAACAATACTGTAATGTGCGCCTTACTGTAATCCATGGTAGTTTCCCTTCTCTTTGCTGCTCTTCCTTTTAAATCTGTATCTCTTCTCATGCTTGGGGAGAACTTCCCTTTGCAGCTGAGTGCCTCTTCCTGTAGTGCTGGCTCAGGTTGTGAACCTACACACAGACACCATGTATCCATTTCAGAGACAATGCAGTCTGCTGCAAAACAGAAGTTCTGCCCAGCATGAGAAGAGATACAGATTTAAAAGGAAGAGCAGCAAAGAGAAGGGAAACAACCATGGATTACAGTAAGGCACACATTACAGTATTGTTTTATGTTAAAAAATCTGAGGGTTTAATGTCACTTTAAGTTAGGCGTGCACTTTCCTAGCATCCTGTTTCAGCTGTTTATGTTTTAGTGTATTCAGCAAAGGAAGACCATATCTGATCGGGATGTGTCGATACCGGGTTTTTCAGTATCGAGTGCCAATATTTTTTTTGTGTAATGACTTGCTGCCGGCTTCCTGATTAGCCGGGAAGACAGCTCTTTGCGCCCTCCTCACCAGGTGATGAGGAAGCTTGGAGCCGACTTTCTGGCCAATCAGAAAGCCGGAGGCGGGTAATGACTCGCTCCCCTTCCCTGGCTTCCTGATTGGCCGGGAAGCCAGCTCCAAGCGCCCTGGTGACGAGGGAGCATGGAGCCGGCTTCCCGGTCAATCGGTAAGCTGGGCGACGTGTAATGACTCGAGTACTCACCCAAATACTCGTTATAGGCACAGATTCTAGTATCGGTGCATCCCTAATATCTGACAGGTTGCCATGGGTTACAGTGCTTTTCAGAGCCCAGTTTCAGTAACAGGGCATTTTTGGTGATGCCACTAAATGCCACCAATCCAGAATTGAACTTTTGGACAAAAGTAACTGAGGCTAAAAATACCCTCAATGGCTAACTGCTGTGGGAATCGTGGCTCTCCAGGCACAATGGTCTTCTGTCTGATAACTATTTCTTGCAGCTACTTCTATGTGCGACATCCTGAAAACCTGACATAGCTTAGAGCAGAATTGGGGAATCTCATTTTGCATTGTTGCATTTTTCTGTCTGGTTCAGACCTGCTCCGTATAGAATAATGAGGCGTGGAACAGCTAAAGGGAAAGTTGTTTTTACAGACCGGTTGCAGAGGGAGCACAATATTAGGCTGTAAACATTAAAAAAAAACAAAACCCAGTGCCTTTTAATCTCATGCTTGACATGACCTTACCTTTGGATAAATAAACTCTAAAGAATGATACCTGTAGAAGATGACTGTGAATACTTACCTCTCCCACTGTCCATACTGCCACAATGCCACTCTGTTCATGAGAAATTTTCATGTGAAGAAGAAAACTGAGAAACTGATCCCGAGAGTGTTGTTCCCTGCAGTCCTTAGTGGTGCCTCCTGCTGCCTCGTCATTCCTGTGTCTTGTAATGCATGGAGGTAAAGTGGCAGCTTGGGCAGTGAGGTGACATGCCCAAGGTAAGAGCCAGCACTTATGGTGCCTGCCACCAGCCTGACATTTTTCTTTTCTTTCTTCTTTCTCTACATCTTATAGCGTATCTAAACCCCGAATCAGAAATTAAATATATTGCGATGCACAAGTCCTTAGATGTTGCTTTAGGTTTATTGTTCAAGTTTTTTCCCCTTTACTTTCGCCTGGTAACCGTGCAAATAACAAACTTCCTGCCCTAGAGTGGCTCCGTTCACCTCACTCTGTCTCTATGGTGGGAGCCATGATTGCCACTAGGCTGCTTACCTGCTTGCCTAATTTTGGACTACAATCCCATTTTTCTTTAATTTGAGAAGAAGGGGGGGGGGGGTGGTTTACAAAAGAAAAAGTGACAAGGACACTGCATTTGTGGCAAGATCAACAGGTATTTTATATATTTGAAAAAGTAAATTGCACCAGCGACTGTTCGTGACACAGCCCAAGTACACTCATGAGGCAGCTCCCTCTGGTCAGGGTAAACCGGCAAATCTTTTTGCTGCTGTGGGTCTGCTGGCACCTGTGGTTCCATTAGCATGTGCTCTCCACTTGCTGCACTGTGTTAGCAGCTATAATTTGTTTTTGTATTTTATATATTTGCCTAACATGTTCTTCACCTGGAAAAATGAAACGCAATTCATCCACCACAATAAATGTATGTTCTTGGATTGAGATTCTTTTCTCTGTGTATTCGAAAGCTATTTTATATTATCTTTAAAACTGCTCTAAACAGCAAAGGGTTAAATGCTTGTTAAATCTAGGGATGGAGAAAGAAAGTGTAATACTCGCCTCCTTCCTCTGGCAGACTTCTGTCTGTGTGGTTGGTCCCCCTAAGATTCTTCTGTAAGGCACTCTGGCCGGCGGTCTCACTCTGATGGCATCACATACAATACAGGGCCAATAGCCTGCATTGTACGTGGGGACAGCGGAGGCTCCTCCACAACCTGGACCATTGGAGAGAAGAGGTATGTGCCCAAAATCTACCCATGCAAGGAATAAGATAAGCATTATGCCTTATTCCTCTGCAGCTAAACCTAACAAGCATTTAACCCTTGTAGTCCAGGGGTAGGGGCGGTTGGCGAATGCCCACTGCAGTGGTAGTTTTTGTCTAATTCCTTGAGTTCAGCTTTAATATCTGACTTTTACACTAAGAGTTTATGCAATGTGATCATGATACATCAATAGGCCTCTAGCATGTGTTCCAAGGACACCTGTGATGAGAGACATATTTGAGCTGCCACTGCTGACCTCTGTAGCATCGGTAATGAGTCATTGATCTAGTAGAATATGTGGACAGCAATGTGAAAATTCCTGATCTGCATACTTGCACTGAGTCAGAAATGTTTGGAGCCAGTGAATCAGCTAGACAACCAGGACTCTAGCATTAGAAGATCATCAATGGTAGCCTGTTTTTCTGAAGGATGGTGGCATGGTTACCAGATAAGGAAGGTGCATGGCTGATCTCAGGAGTATACATTCAAGTACCCTAACTATTACCAAAAATGTATCTTATTTATGTATCACCTAGCTGTAGATCCTCAAATCACCTTTGACTACATGACACTGTCCTTCCTTCTAGAGCAGTGGTTTTCAACCTTTCTAGGGCCGGGAGCCCTTGGTAACATTTGCCAAGTTGTGGTGACCCCAACGGTAAAATTTAGGGTTGACGCGGCTGCTGCAGCGACATCTGACGGCGTGGCAGTAGAACTGACACTGCTGCGCTAGGAGAGGGCTGAGGAGGCCTCTCACCTAGCACAGCAGAAATCGCACAGCGACCCACAGGTTGAGAACCGCTGCTGTAACAGCTAAAATGGCAAACCATATAACGCAAGCCGAGGGTGTCAGCTTTTATTATTAATAATGATAATAATGATGATAATCTAATAGCTATCTAATAGTGGGAGACTTCTGGCGACCCCTGGCAAATTGTCATTCGACCCCCGAAGGGGTCCCGACCCACAGGTTGAGAACCACTGTTCTAGAGGGGGGTTACTTTTGTTCCTCATGGTCCCTGTGTGTGTTGTTGCTCCAAGCTCGCTCCTGTGATGGACTACAATCTTAATACAAATTGGTAAAATAAATATGAGATTGTAATCCATCGCAGGAGTGAGCTTGGAGCAACAACAAACACCGGGACCATGGGGAACAAAAGTAGCCCCCCTCCAGAAGGAAGGACAGTGTCAGCACCAATTCAGAGATGATTTGAGGATATACAGCGGAGTGATACACAAATAAGATACATTTTTAGTTAAGGTATTTGTAAGATGTAACTCCTGAGTGTAGTGTCACTTTAAAGGCTGGTCATAGTTTAATGAGCAAGCAGATGACACAGAACATCATGGGATAAATAGCTGGGTCACCATCCTGGCAACTTACTGTACTGGGTTATGTGAATACAAGTGGAACTAAAAATACAGTACACTCCCCATTATCCAGCATTCAAATAACCAGTACTCTCAAGCAACTGGAAACAATTTTTGAGGATGTAATAATTTCCACGGTTGTTTTTTTATTTAATTTTTTTCCGTTTATGCCGGTTGTTTGATAGGTGTGCACACTAAAAAAAATTTAGTTGGCAGCTAAATTTATTTAGTTAATGAAAATCTGTTTTACATGTTGCCGCTGGTCAGCACCTAGATTCTGCAGCTGAATGTAAACAATGGGCACTTTTCTCTCGGGTCCACTCCTGTGCTCATTTAAAGCAGGGAGTGGGCGGGTGCGATAGCCAGCCTGCTATTGCAATTCGAAATAGCCAATAGCAGGCTGGCTATTGCACCCGCCTACTGTTTTAGGGAGTGGTGTGGGGTAATGTGGTTAAATGAGACTTAATCGTAACTCTCAAGCAACTAGAAACTACAGTTATCGGACATCTACCAATTCCAGTGGGTGCTGGAAAACTGGGAGCTACTGTACATTGATGGGGTTGACATTTTCTCATGGGTTTCAGCTTTTTTAGCGAGCCCTTTTTTTTTGTGTTTAAAATTACAGTTTAATATATTGAGTAGTCTCTTTTCGATCTACCTCAGCTTTGGTCCCGTCTCTGTGTGGGTGTGTTTCCTTGAATATAATTATTTATGGGCTGTTATTATTTATGGGTAATTTAAGGAATAACGAAAGAGATAATGCTCCGAAATTGTACTCAATCAGAGCAGAAACCTCCCATCACACAACCACCCATTC